TTATATGGCTAATTGACAACTTGGTGTAAATACCAAGAAAGGAGAAAAATTATATTAAAATTCAGTTCTTTTTCCATGAGTCTTTGGTCCTGTCCAAACTAATTGGCTCTGTCTAGAGTGAGAATGTTAACTCGAGCAGCCTAACCTTGATCGTTACAATGGGGCTGGCATTTCTTACAATGCATGTATGGACTGAGCCATCAGTCAATGGATCTCATTTTCTATGACGCCATTGGTGAGCGATGAAGCCAATCCTCAGTTGGCAAATCCAATTACAGATTTCACATGAAATCCACTATCTGTGGTGTTGTGCACTCTTTTCGGATCCTATGATTTTCTTGTAGCATCTGGATACATTGACTCTCAAAGTATTTGAGAGCCTGTGCAATGGTTTGCAACCAGACCAGTCTGTCCTGAGCTATGAATCCCAGGTCACTGGGAGATATGCCACATGATCATGATGGCCTTTTAAGATATCATTTTAACACTTATACTGACCACCAAGAGTGCTTTCCGTGAACAAGCTGGCTGTGGACCATCTTTTAGTGCCTGTGCATCATCCATCCTCATAACATGACCGATTCAGGAACGTTTGTTCATAAGCAGGGCTCGACAAATCATGTAATCTACTCGCCCATGGCGAGTAGATTACAAGCCGGCACAGCTGGCGCCACGTGATCTGCGCATGCGCAGCTCACAGAACTGCACGGGCTGGCGAGTGGGGCTCACCGGCACTTGGCGAGCCCTGTTCATAAGCATCCCTCTTCCATGCACATCACACAGCTTAAGGACCTTCCATGTTAGGAATTTTGTCCCAATTCACATGGGCAATCATCCTGAGGCACCATAAATGGAACTGATAGAGTTTCAAAACATGGCATTGATACATGGTCAATGATATCAAGCCACACAACAAGATATTAAGGACAACTGCCTGATCAACATCATACGAAGGTAACAGTTTAACATCCTGGTCATTCAATAAGTGTTTGGCCAGTCTTCCAAAGGCAGCACTGGCTTTGGCTAGTTGAGCAGATATATAGTCATTTCCAATATTTCAGCCCTCCACTGCTCCCCAGGAGCAGTCTGCCAGCTTCCAGGAACCTGTCAGGGCCCGGAGAAGGCAGGCGCCTTCCTGATCCAGGATGGAGATCATGGACCTTATTCAGGTTTGGGGGAGATGCCCCCAACGTCCATGATCTCCGCACTAGACGGAGGAACGTGGCCATCTATGGCAGGATAGCTGCCAGCCTGGCCACCAAAGGCCACATGCGAACCCAGGAGCAGGTTTGCATGACAGTCAAGTTGGTCCGGCAAGACCCTGAGCCCTGAACTTCCCCTCCCCGATCTTCCCCTTGCTTCCCCCTTCCAGCTCCCTCCTCCCAGATTTCCCCCTCGCTTCTCCCCTCTCCCGCCTCCTTTTCCGAGTCTCATCAGTTTTTCATTCCCTCCCCCGTTTTGTTAAATGAAGAGTTTGTGTTAATGAAAATACATGTATTTTATTTGACATCAGGAAGGGGGGGGAGGTAGGCAGGGGTAAGTGGAAGGATGTGAGGGAAGAATGAGGCACAAGCCCCCAGTGGGGCAGACCAGGGAGGCTCTTAGTGCTCCTCAGGGTGGAAGCTCTCCTGCAGGGCCTCCTGGATCCTGACAGCCCCCTGATGGACGTCCCAGAAGGTAGCCTGCAGAAAGTGCACCCAGGCTCACAGCAACACATCCACGAAAAGCACCAGAGTGCCATGGGGCAGCTCTGGCTCCATGTCGCAGAGTGCTGTGGTGTCCCAAGTGAGGGCAACCAGAGCACGCAGAGACAAAATGCTTTGCTGTCCCTCATCAAGGTAGACAAGCAAGCAGGGAAACCTGAGAACTGGCTGTCTGGGGGAGTCCCTTTAAGCACAGACCTCAGATAGCCTCAGGCAGCAGCCCCACACAGTAAGTCCTGACCTGGTGCCCTACCGGAACTGGTTCTGGCCAGCCTTCAATGCGATTCAGAGTCCTCTCAGTTTGGACGCGCTATTTCAAAATAGCAAAATGCTATTTCGAAATGCATTTTGTGTGTAGAAGCGTTATTTTGAAATAAGCTATTTCAAAATAACTATTTTGAAATAAGATATTTCAAAATAACTATTTTGAAATAAGATATTTCAAAATAACTATTTTGAAATAAGATATTTCAAAATAACTATTTTGAAATAAGATATTTCAAAATAACTATTTTGAAATAAGATATTTCAAAATAACTATTTTGAAATAAGATATTTCAAAATAACTATTTTGAAATAAGATATTTCAAAATAACTATTTTGAAATAAGATATTTCAAAATAACTATTTTGAAATAAGATATTTCAAAATAACTATTTTGAAATAAGATATTTCAAAATAACTATTTTGAAATAAGATATTTCAAAATAACTATTTTGAAATAAGATATTTCAAAATAACTATTTTGAAATAAGATATTTCAAAATAACTATTTTGAAATAAGATATTTCAAAATAACTATTTTGAAATAAGATATTTCAAAATAACTATTTTGAAATAAGATATTTCAAAATAACTATTTTGAAATAAGATATTTCAAAATAACTATTTTGAAATAAGGTATTTCGAAATAATACTGTAATGTAGACATACCCTCCTTTTGTCAACAAAAAGCCAGTGTCTCTGCTATTTGTCGTAATAAAACTGGTTTTTGCCAGGATCTGACAATGTCTGCCCTGATGGCTGTGTTCAGTATTTTGTGATCGCTACTGCCCTGTAGGCATGTGCCCTTCCCCTTTCAAAGCTCTGGGAAGTATCTGATAGCTAAGTGAGCTTCTCCGTTTGGGGAATAAACAAAAAACCCCAAATAATTGGAATGCTGCTATTCTGCTGCTGCAAGGGGAGGGCTGGAGAGACTACTGTGCTGCTTAGAAATGTTAAAATTAGATTAATCAAATGGTTGATGGAATTTCCATCGACTATTCAATTAGTTGATAAGGGCCCTGCTGCTTTGAAATATAGCAAGAGCCCCAGCAGGAGGTTTTGTGCATTTCAAAAACTGAAACACTGTATGGAACATGGGGCCCCCACTGGGAAACTCTGCTGGGGACTCTTGTACATTTCAAAGCAGAAGCACTAGCCTGGGGTCAGCAGGGGAGGTGTTTCAGTCTTTGAAATGCACAAGAGCCCTTGCTGGGGCTCCTGTACATTTCACAGGTGGAATGCCACCGCTACACCCTGCCCCCTCCCATGGAGCTGGAGGGAACCAGCTGTTAAGTCGGCTTCCCCAGCACCCCGTTTTCTCTCCCCTCTTTGCTGCCTTTTTCTGATAGAGGCAGCAAGGGGAGGGGGGGAGCAACTAGTTGACTAGTGTGTTGACTATCCGATAAGCTTTTGCATATCTGATAGTCGACTAGTCGCTTACATCCCGTGTGCTCCTTTGACATGCCTTAAAACAGAGACCTTACAGAACTATCAGGGAATCCCAAGAAGTGCAGGGATCAGCTCTGTCTTCCCACAAAACTGCACTGTGCGATGCTCACCTACATTGCTTTGCTCTCTCGAAATGTTGACATGTGGGAAGCAGAAAGTCTGGTTTGACCGATTTTCACTTTTGGCGACTCTTGCATGTCAACAGCACTTTTGGTGCCAAACCTTCCCACTGTAAACATAGCCTACATTTGAAAGGCCGTGTGTGTGTCCTCACCTGGTGTAAATTGACTCCACTCATTTGAAATCAATGGAAATTTAATAGTTGACACCAGTTGACAATCTGCCTCACTTTATGTATTGTTTGTGTACTGTGCTAAGATGCTAGAATACTGTTCTCTCATCTAGCTAAGCTGGACAAAGTAATGAAAGTGAAAATAAATTTTGAGCAATTATTGGTTAATACTAGAACAATGAATCCTCAGGATTCTTGTTCAAAAACAGTGTAATCTGAGCAATATGGAACTGTATCTAAACAACTTGTTTAATGCTTGTACTAACAGATTCCCAGCAAGTTTAAAGAACTGATGTGAGTAGTAAGAATCAATATTTCCTCATTTTATAATGTGAGGGAGAAGGCAAAAATAAGGTTCCAGAATTGTCTGTAGTATCAGTGCACCAGGGTGACTTCTAGTCCCAGCTAAATTGCATTGCAGCAGGGTCATACAGTGATCAACTTTTATAAACTTTCCAGTTACCTGAGATGAGGTAATATGAACATATTCATTGTAGGAAAACAGCAAGTAGGATCTAATTCAGCAAGGTATTGCACCTAACCTCATGCGTACAAGCAGTTTCACTGCAGTCAGCGATTGCCTGATGACAGCCCCATTCTAAAATTAGGTGCTTAAGTAGAAGCGACAAGGAGTCCTGTAGCACCTTATAGACTAACAGATGTATTGGAGCATAAGCTTTCATGGGCGAAGACCTGCTTTGGGTCTTTGACCACGAAAGCTTATGCTCCAATACATCTGTTAGTCTATAAGGTGCTATAGGACTCGTCGCTTTTGCAGATCCAGACTAACATGGCCCTCTGGTGCTTAAGTATGTGAGCTATCTTAGAAAATATTGGAAGACAAACTCCCAAGTAAAGGAAAAGTGGACATGTGGAAGTTATACATTGTTTTCATTCAAAAACTTCAGTGGAAGAGTTTTTAAAACTGTAGTTTTAATTGCATACATTTGGCAACTGGATTTCATGTAAATAACTTTTACCTAGATAGTCAATTCCATAAATATGCTAATATTGATTTTTGTTCTTGCAGCATGCAACTGGGAATATTTAGCTAATTTTGAAACTCATCAATATTATTACTTAAGACATTGGTATGTAGATAAAGGATGGCACTTGACAGGTGTCCTCCACTCACACTGTTCAGAAAGATTGATTATGTAGTCGCTCTGAAAATAGCATGGTACTTCTAACAGTTAAAAAAAATCGAAATAAAAATATGCAGCTTTTGTTCTCAAAATATACACTTATTGACTGACAGGCTGGCTTAATAATATACTTTTCTTTCCCCCTAGAGAGAAGTTAACAGTTGGGTGTTGCCAACTGGCACAGCTGGAATATACTATTACACAATGCAATGCATCTGTCCATAAGGAAACCAAAAACAGGGGCTGGCTATGATGCTACAGTCAACTTCAGGATTTTAATATGTTCTTCCCCCTCTTTAAATCTTTGTTTAAAAATAAAATGGGAAACTTTGTCAGGAGAACAATCAAAATCTAGGTCAGTTTTTCCTCAGTGTCATTTTTTAATTTATACTTGAATTTACTACCTGAATGAAATTATTTTCATGCAGCTAGCAAAAGGAATCTAAGGAGTATTAATTGCTAGCATTTGTGATAAAGTTCATCTTCCAGAGTTTAACGCAATTGATGTTGCACTTGGGATATATTTAACATACATCTATTTGGACCACTATTTTAAAATGCAAAAATTCAATAGCCACAATCTGTATATTTTCATATTTCTAGAACTTCAAGATGCTTCTAGGATTTAGTTCAGAAGGTTACTCTGTAAACCTCTCCCTTCTATCACAACAAACAGAAGGCAAGAAAAAAGTCTGATGTGAAAGTCAAAACAGGTTTATGATACAAAATTACTTGCATATACAGTGGCTGGTTTGGACTTAATTACACATAGTAACTAGACTATGTATCCTTTAACTTACAAAAAGCCAGTTACTGCTGAGCTTTTCTCTCCCACCTATGGTGATAAAAAAATAATCTGCCTAAAAGCTGACTTGAAAAGTGTGGGGAGAAATGGGTTTATTACCAATTTAGATAATTTAGAAGTTCTCCTGCCCTTCACCAGTTCAATGATCAAGTTAATCTTATCCTATATGTACCTTTCTGTGGTACTGAGACTTTGTCCATAAACTCTCACTTGCACCTTCTTTGCTTAAGTGTTACCTGTATGAGTTAAAACAGGTACTAACAGAAGTAAACTGCCTAAAAATTGCTTCCTCTCTAAATTATCTGGTTTTATTCAAGTGATTACTAATTCTATTAGTCCTGTCCTTTACAGTAGAAATTTGGGTGGGTTTACCTACAAATCTTAAAATCTAAAGCTGCACAAATAAACTTTTCTACAGCAGGACACCTTCAAATGACTTCCCTCGCTGTTCAAATTGCACACTTCACTCTTGGAATGTAATTATAGTCAATTTCTGTCCCACTATTTTCAGTACTTCTGGCCTGTAACACTACCTCTCTTTGCTTTTACAAAAGATTAGTGATTACTGTAAAACTGTATCTTTAATTTTATATATTTGACTTTGTAAGATCTTTGAGTATATTAATTGAAGTTTAATAAACTGCTATTTTGAACAGCCTTATCTTCACTTTATATAGCTGCACGTCCAATCACTTCATAGAAAAGAGCTGTATTTTTTACAGCTTGATAAAGTGTGGCAAGTTCTTGTATCACATACTATTGAATTCATCAATACATTGCAAAAGCTGCCACTATACAGGTTCTGGTTCCCAGAAATGTTTTAAAAAATACCTTCCTGGCTCCAGCCAATTTTTCTAATGTATTTTTATTTTTTAATTCCTGCAAATCTATGGATATATGCTTTATAGCCACACCTCCTTTTTTCCAGTGGCTGCAGATATAAAATGTGTATCTAGAACTCTGAAAATTTGTCCGTAGCTCCTTTTTTTTTCATATGGAGATGGTTACAATTTTTGTATCTGCACAGGGCTCTTATTTATTACTAGCAGGTATACTTTGGCATGGCTCAGGTTTTTAATTGAATTTTTCTTTTTAAAATAAGTGTACATGCTTTATTTGTTGTATTTTTTTGAAGATGAAGGCTGGAGTGAGGGTCCAGGAGGGGGGTGGCTTAGGGTAGAGGGTTTAAATATATGTGGAGATAGGTATATCTTATAGAAATGGAAGGGACCTTGAGAGGTCACCGAGTCCAGTCCCCTGCCCTCACAGCAGGACCAAGTACCATCCTTGACCAATTTGCCCCAGATCCCTAAATGGGCCTCTCAAGGATTGAACTCACAACCCTGAATTTAGGAGGCCAATGCTCAAACCACTGAGCTATTCCCCCCTGCACTTGGAAGGTGGGAGATTCAAGACAGCAGGCTTTACTGGAGGTGACAGTGGTACTCGTCCTGCAGCAGCTCCTCCCAGCGAGCCATAGCAGTACTCCCTGGCCACTGGCTCTTTGGGGTGGGGCAAGTTCTGGGTTTGGGGCAGGGGGTGCACCTTACCCAGTCTCAAGGCAAGTAAGATGGCAGAGCCCCAGCTGTATTGGCCACTTTTGCTCCTGCAGCTGACCCCCACTGGCCACTATCACACACCCCTTTTCTGTAGCCCTCCTATCTCATGTTATCAAAAACAGGCCCCATCCTGGCCCATCACACTTTCCAGACATACCAAAACCCAGCCCTTGCTTTAAGTTGGGTAAGAGGAACTGCATACTAAATTTGGTGATCCTAGCTCTGATGGCTTAGGAGTTCTTGAACAGATAGTCCCAGCTATGTTTATGGCTACATCAAAAATGCTTGGGTTTTTAAAAAAAAAAAAATCAGGTTTGTTCATGGTACTTTAACTGCTGTTTGTCCTTAAACATGCTAACAGTTTCTTTCTCCAAAGCATAAGTAAAAGTGGGTTGCTTGTTAAGAATACATCAGTTTCAGCATTATAAGTTCTAGGCTCCCCTCCCCCCCCCATTAAATATTCCACCATAAGTGTGCTATAATGAAGATGCAATGGAGCAAGTGTTATCGTAGATGTAGAGTTGGAAGAGGAAACTGGGGATGCTCACTGAAAGTATTAGACCTAAGCCCAGACCAATTTTAGCTATATGGATCAGAACTTGCTCTGAGAATACATAAAACAGTAAGTGAACAATGAACTCATACCTGTAGCTCTTTTGGGTAATGTGGATCACTTATTTGGCTGTTTAAACCTCTTAGATTAACAATACTCAGACCTAGCATATCTTGTTTTGCTTTTAGTGGACAGGTTCACTTCCATCTATGTGGCAGGATGATTTATTTTTTTTTACTGAAGAGTTTGTTAGTGAAATGTATGAACAAAGCCACAACTACAACTTCGATAATAATCCTGTGGTTTAAGGATTTCCCGAAAGGTACCTTTTAATGTGTTTGCATCAGCAGCAAGCATTAAGTGCTAAGTTTGGCACCACGAAAATGAGATGTGCCGCACTACATACTGGACACCAAGTCATCCCAACCAACATTTTTACATATGAATAGAGAAAGTGAACCAAAACATAGGATTGAGCACTCATGGGACAAATTAAGTACAATTCATCTTATAGCACATTTGTCAGCTTGCACTATTAGAAAAATAAACACCATTTTAAGAAATGTTTTCTTCATCACACACTGGTAGTATTCTAAAAACATGAACACTTCAGGATTTACAAATGTTAGCTCAACTGTTGTAACAAAACTGCTGTGCAGAAAGCACCCTCCTACATTTGTCCAAGTATCTGAAGCTAAAGTGACTTTAAATACTGGAAAAAAAAAGTTGTTAAAAAACGCCATTTAAAATTTAATGAACATCAGTGTTGCATACTAAAGTACAATATTGTAGCAGAGGCAAAAGCTTAGATGCTCATGTACAGTGGTAAAATAAATATCCCACTTCATCTCTATGAACACCAAGATTCTCTCTCTGCCTCAACACCAACTATGCCACTTTCACTTCAACAGGTAAATATTCGGAGTATATAAAAAGTTATAAAAAGGCAATCATAAAAGGTTAAGTATTGGCAGGCATGTCAACTTTAATAAAAAAGAGCATTATATGTGTTAAATAAGGCTTATTACAGATTGTTCCAGTTATTGGTGAGGAGAGCAGGGAGCCTGAAAAAACCAACTGCCTATAACCAAAAACCCTATTCTTCCTGCCCCAAACACACATTCTAAAGGGGGGAGAGGGGGGAGAGGAAATGTGCAAATTAGCAAAACAAACATTGGGGGAAGCTCTTGAAATGATATGCCCAATCAGTTGTCTTGCAATAATAATTTCCAAAATCTAAGTAACAAAATCCAAAAATACACAAACACCCTTCATCTTTCCAAAAACAAAAAAGTATATACAGCACATTAATAGTATGCAATATGCAAAAGCTTTGTGTCGCTGTCAGCAACTTCTTACCCTCCCAATCCTACTGACATGTACCTCTACTAAAACAATTACATCACTAAGCCTGTTAGTTTGCCAGTGGCACTTATACTGGTTAAAATTTATACATTTTTGCATATGGGCTCCATTCATTTGATTCTGGGTTGTAGATTTCAACTGTATTCAGGAATTCATTGCCATCAAATCCTCCAACTGCATAAATGGTGTTTGCCACAGCTGCAATACCGGCATTGCTTCTTGGAGTAGTCATATTTCCCATCATCTTCCATTCATTTTTAGCAGGGTCGTACATCTCCATACAACTGACAGCACGAGAACCATCAAAGCCTCCACCAACAAAGAGTTTTCCTGTTTAAAAGGAAATGATAGTGTAACTGCTTATATCCCATAAGCCGCTACTTCATAAACAAATTCTACTTCATAAAACTATATAAATTTGTGAAAGATAAACTAAGTCAACAGGAATTAAAAGTTGTAATCTAGGAAACAGGGATTTATGTATCCAGAATAACTTATTATAAATTCTAATTAGCAGGGCTCGACAAATAGTTCTGCATGCGCAGAACTGCGCAAAACCGCGCGGTTGGCAAGCAGGGCTCGCCGCCGCTTGGCGAGCCCTGCTAATTAGTATTTGAATGCTGTATACCTGGATAGTGAATCCAGTTAAATATAAAATAACTTCTATTAGCTGAAGTCCTCTGCATATTTCCCTAATATAAATGCCCATTAAAAGTGTATGCATTCTTTGTAATCAATGATTTAACAAATCTGCTTTGCAGGTTAGTAGTATAAAGGAAAGTCTGTCGTAACAGGGTATCATTCACAAAATTTGCTCTTGTTGAAAGATTAACAATTACCATCATGAACAGCTACTCCAGCTCCACGCCTAGCCACATTCATAGATGCAATTAGAGTCCAGGTATCATTCTCTGGATTGTAACGTTCTACACTGTTCAGACAATTCCAAGACTCTGCTCCTCCAATTATGTACAAATATCCACTTAGCTCACATACTGCAGATTGATGTCTACCTACAAATTAAAAGATATTAGCATCACCCATAAGACTTCAGCAAAACACACTTGTAAGTGCATGGCAGCGCAGCTGCCTTTTTTTATTAGAAATAAAAAAGTGCACATGGGCAGCAATATTAAAAATCTGCTTTAAAAACAAGGCAACAAACTTACGAATGTTGAGTGGAGCACAGCTTGTCCAAGATTTTGTTACAGGATCAAACACATCACAGTTTTTCAGTCCCTTCCGGCCATAAGGATCTGAGCCACCAACAACATACAGCTTACCATTCAGAGCGCATACTCCTGATAATATATAAAGTGATTTGTTACCTAATAACATTAGTAAAGAACTAAAACAGACAATCATCAAAACAACCATTACCTGCATTGCAACGACTGGTTCTCAGTTCTGGAACAGGAATCCAGTCATCTATTTCCGGATCATACATTTCTCCACAACTCAAGTCATCTGAATGGCCATTTGATCCCCCGACAACATACAGCTGTCCCTAAGTAGAAGAAAAAGCTATTGTTTCATGTGTCAATTAAAATTTAATTCTGTTCCAGAGCACCTCTCTGGTACTAAATATAAAATTATTCAACTGCTACACACAGGAATTGCAAGGAACAGACCAAATGTACAAGAATAACTACGTTATCAGTTAAATACAATGTAGCTTACCATGAGCCTTTACGTTTAAGGACTGACAAATCCAGTTTTTCAAGATACTAGCCCAAAAATATAAGGATTTTAAGTACTCTGTTGACAAAGCCCTGGCTGGGATGATTTAGTTGGGATTGGTCCTGCTTTGGGGAGGGGTCTGGACTCAGTAACTTCCTGATGTCTCTTCCAGCCCTATGATTCTAACCAGATATCAAACATGACTAGTGTATCAATATTTATTACTGAAACGTAAGTTACATTTTAAGAATAATGGTCTTTCTTGCATCTGTAATTGAACATGGTATATTAAAGCCAACTCAAAGGCTGGAGCTACTAGGAAAGATACTGCAAGTGAAGAAAAATGTGAATGTTAACAGTCTCTCTGGGTCAGCTCTCCTCAGCACCTGTTATTTAAGTTCCTGCTATTTAATTATTAGTCAGTCTGAGAAAGTGTCTTTCTTCAATGATTCCCATACAGTCAAATAAAATCCCTCCTGGCAAACCTACAGAATTGGCTGCTTTTGAATTCGGAGACACTAACTGCCCCACTTGACAGATGGAGCATAACATACCTAGCTGCAATATTTCTTTTTGAAATCATATCCTAGAAATTCTGAATACCTTTGAATGGATTTGTACACATTTCAGAGCTAAATCTGTTTGTCCCATCCTTAGTTTCTTTCAGACAATCCAAATCATCTACTAGGGCATTTCTACGTCACAAAAAATGCTTTTCCCATCTGTTATTTACACAGCACATACCATTAGAACTGCCATCTGGAATCGGGCTCTTGGTGTTCTCATGGGTGCAATAAAAGTCCAACGGTCCTTTCGTGGATCATAGCTCTCTACTGTGCGCAGACATTCCTCTCTGTTATAACCACCTAACAGTAAAGCCACAAGAAATCACATGCAAAGAATTTTCATGAAGCTAGTTCACTAGCTTCATTAAAAGTTAACATAGAATCTACTAACTAGGGATGTGAACGAGTAGTCGATGTGAATAAGCAAATGCTTATCAGATAGTTGACACACTAGTCAACTTGTCACCTCCCTCCCCTCTCTTGTCCCCTCTATCAGAAAGAGGCCAGGCTCCGGGCTCTATGCAATGCTGCCACTTTGAAACACCACAGGGAGGGAGCCCAGGACCAGCAGAGGACTGCTTGAGTCCCCCCTAGCTCTGTGCTCCCTGCAGTACTTTCGTCTTTGAAGTGTAGCAACAGCCTTGGGCTGTTGCTACACTTCAAAGTCAGAGGTGCCCTTATCAACTAATCACATAGTCAATGCAAATTGCATTGATTATTCGATTACCCAATTAATCTAAATTTAACATCCCTACTTCGAACCTTGTTCCTAATTACTTAGTTATGGAATAGTGATAGAAATGTTGCCATGATAGTCCTGTTTTTTGTTTTAGTTATGGAAGGTACTGTATATTAGACATGTTTCAATCCAAACATGTTTTTACTTTATTTAGTTTTTTACCTGCAGCTATTAGCCTGCCATTAAGTTCCGCTGTTCCCAACCCAGATCGAGCATACTGCATTGGAGACAGTGGCTTCTCTGTAAGGTCATCTGGTTGAATCTCAAAACTCATGCTCTTCATCAGTCGTGGAGTACTTGTTGGAGAGCTCTGAGGGCTGTTTCGTCCATGAAGAAAAATCACACAGAACACACCATCCAAAACAGCAAGACACAAGTAAGTATTACCTGAAAAACAAAATGTTAAGGAGTGTTCTATATTTAATACACTAGTGGCTTCCAAGTTTATCCTTACAGCTCTAGAGTCTAAAATATTTAATGCAATTCATATTTACAGACTCCAAACTTCACTCCAGTTATATAGAAGCACTATACTGCATAACTCAAGATTATACCTAAGCAAACTCCCATAAATCCATCTGAAAGTGTTTTAGGACAAAGTCTCCCTCCAAGCACAAAATAACTTCTGTTCATGGTTCACATTCCTCACAATTCATCAAAATTTTCCATGGGAGGTAAGATGGTCTTATAGTTAATATACTTAGCCTCAAAATATCTGGGCTTTGATCTCAGCTAAAGATCTAAGAGACCATGAGCAATTCACTGATTTAAACAGAAAAAGTTATCTAACTGTAAAATGGGGACAACCTTCCCTATTCCATCGGGTACTGAAAATTCGTTACTGTATGTGAGATGCTCCGAAACTATGACCATGAGCAAAAACGAAAACCCTAAACAAAAGAAGCCAACACACTTACTTGAAGTCTTTTCTGAGGCAACAATTTTCCATTCATGTTTAGGACTCTGTACAGTAGTATTTGGAGAAGAAAGGCTTCCAGAGGAACTGCTACTTATCTGCTTGTGATCATTCTCACGTGGTTGCTTTTTCTGCAAAATCGAAAGGCAGCTACAGAACCCTAGCCAGAGACCACATTCTTTATCTACCTTTACTTTTCTCGGCTAATCCACACAACCGAGAAAAATGCGTGAACTTTTCCACCTCTGCAAAGCATCATTTATAGCACACCTACACTTTAAATAGAATTGTTTATATAATTAAAAATCTAAACAGATTTACTCCCACCTCAGTATTCATTTAATCTCCTTTAACCCGATCCTCTATCAGAAACCCAACCTTAGAAATCATCTTGCTCTGAACCCCTTTTTAGAAATAAAATATGCACTCTCACTGGACAGAAGGTTTTCAAACTTCCTGCAGCTTTCAAACTTTAAAAGCCACCACTCACCCCAGCCCAACACCAGCCCCTTCCTCCCTGCCCCCCCCCCCCCAATCCACATCGTTTACCAGACTGAAAAAACTGGATGTATTTTTAGACTCTCAAATTGAGCTAACCACACAATGCCCATTTCTGAAAGGTAATCATTAAAAACCAATTCCTCAGATGAGACACCCTTTCAACACAGTCAACCTGTATAACTTGCTGCCTAGAGATGCTGTGATGGCCAAAATTATAAAGGGGTTACAAAAATAAGATAATTGACAACAGGCTCATCAGTTGCTATTAGCAAAAATGGCCCAGGACACAATCCCATGCTCTAGATGGCCTTAAGCTAATTACTAAACATGCTAAGACTGGTTTGTTCTGTAACTGGTTCAGTAACCGGTTTGTTCTGTTCATTCCTTCTGAAGCATCTGGCATTGGCCACTGTTGGAAGACAGGATACTGGACTAGGACTAATCTGACCCAGTATGGCCATTCTTGTGTTCTCATCTAAAAAGTCTGTGTGATCTTGTTCAGTTTCTCTGGCCTTTTTTTTTTATGATAATACTTTGTACATAAGGGTTATTTGTTCAGTATTTCACTTTATAAATTTCTTTTGCAATTTAACAGATGCAAAGAAAAGAACTTATTTCAGATCACTACGCATATCTGGAATAAAAGCCAAGTCAACAGCAAAAACCCAACATCAATTATACGAATTCAGTATAACAATGTTCTAAAACCATATAGCTGAAATTTACACCACTTGAACTGTATGTTTTTTTCACATTACAGAAAAGGTAGCAAGATCTGTAAAATACTCTCAAAGATCATCCATCAGCTTTTCCTCTAAATTTCCCAAACTCTGCTAAACCATATTTATCACATCATAAGGCCGTCATCCATCTTTTTTCCTTGACTTTTTAACAGACCAACTAGCCAACAAGTTATATGTTTGAGACCACCAACCAATGTGTTGAGTTTTGTATCCAGTAAAACTGGTGTCTTTCTTTGCCCACCCACTCCAAACTGTGATGAAACTACAGGTTGAACCTCTCAACTAGGACTCCCTGGTCCAGCTGGACCAGAGAGACCCAGTGGAGGGCCAAAGGCAGGAGTCCTGTGGAGGCCAGGAACCCAGCTAGGCTGGCTGCAGCAAGGCCAGCAGCCAGAAGCTTTGCCACAGGAACCCGGCTGAACTGGTGGCAGGGCAACCAGAGGGCTCCAGTGGGCAGCAGTCTACTGCGATGGGGCCAGGAGCCCTGGCAGCAGATTGTGGGGCTGCTGGAGGAGTGCTGGCAGAACCAGCAACAAGCCTGGTAGGGCTGGCAGAATCAGGATACTCTGGTGGAAGAGCAGCAGTCTTCAGAGGGCAGGAGGGGAGTCCTGACAGTGGAATTGTGAGCTGGAGAGGCCATTGCTGTTGCAGCAGGGCTGATGGATCCAGGAGCACCGGCGGCACGACAGTGGTCTGCTGTGGTAAAACTGACCATCTCAGCAGTGGGGGTGTGAACTGCTGCAGCAGGACAGTAGGGCTGCTTGCACATGGGGAGCCTGCCGGGAGGCCAGGCACAGAGCTGGGTTGGGGGACTGCTGGCAGAGGGACAGAAATGGCCTCCCCAGTCCAGCAAAATCCCTCTTTTGGGACCACTCAGGCCCCAAGGGTGCTGGACCAGGAAGGTCCAACCTGTATTTCACTGTCAACTATTAAATCCCACTAAAATTTTTTACAACTTTTTGTACACATGCCTATCCCTTAAATTTGAGAATTTTTAAAGACTGAATGAACTCCTCCAAGATTGTGTTTCTAAACAAAACTATGAAAGTCAAAGTTGATGTATATAGCTTAAATATATTTGCCATTGTAGTTCTCCTATTTGGAGAACTTCACTCTGATTTTTTCCTCCTTCATATTTTCAGAAACAAATATTTTATCTACTTAGTTGAACAAAATTAAATCGAAAGAATTCACTAAATACCACTGAGGCAAAAATGATTTACTCAACTCTTCTCAGATTTATTTTCAAAATCCATGCGCTACATAACTATAAAGGTATTTTTAATGTTTACTAGAAACCCTACCAAGACCAGATTGTTTCTGTCTGCAATTCTCATTGCTCTGAATTCAGAAATCAAGGTACAACTACATTAAAACTCAATATAGGAGAGCTAGAGGCCACTCAAATTTGGACACAGTAACTCTCATTTGGGTCCATCAAGCCATCTATTTAAATTCTTTTCTTCAACTAGTTAAAGTTGGAGGACGAGAAGATAGAAGCAGCACAATTCATGAACTTAGTCCTTGATTTTATAAATGTCGACAATAGCAGAAGACAAAATGAATACGTTTTTCTGCACAACTCTTGCCAATGTTCCTCTACTCTGACTTGCAAGCTCTCTGCTAACTATTCCATACTTCTGCTTCTTGCTCAGACAGCTAGTTGTTAACAGCTGTCTATTTGTTCAAAGATGTGAATAAACAACAACTAGAATGAAATCACGTAAGTCACAAATTCAAAACCAGATGAAAATGTAAACTGTATCAGAGTACCGCCCTCACCTGGCCCAACAATCAAAAGGCTGTACTGCTTCCTTTGCAAGTCCATGTATATATATTGTGGTTCTCTCCTTTCGCCCCCCGAAGAAAAATTTCTCTAGAATTCCTTTAATATCTGGCTCCTCTTTACATTCAGTCTGAGGCCATTTGTTTTGTAGCCAGTTACTTTTTCAGTCATGCGATCTGCATTTTCTATTCCATCTGAATTCAAACTAAAACAGCCCACACACTTCTCAAGCCTTCAATATTAAACTCTATTTTCCTAATATTTCTATTACAGAATCCCCTGTACTAGACACCCTCTGATATATCTTTTCAGTTTTTGATGACCTGAGTTTTTTAAAGACACATTTAACATTCAAATAAGTACTGTTAACAAGATGAAGCAAGTGAACAGCCAATACCACAGAAGTACAAAAGTATTTCCCCATCTGTGTTAATCATAAAGATACTACTTATTCCCTTTGCTACTGTACACAAGTTTTCCGGTGTGCTACAAACTGCTCCAACCATAATTTTACCTTATCTAACCTCAGACCATGTGCAATTTGTACCTGCACAAACTGAATGTGGTCATCATCACTGCCATACACCTCAGCCTGTCCATCTAGTAGATTTCCATCAAGCAGCTTGTGATCAGCTGAGTAGTACAACGTTTGAACCTGCAAAACAGGAACAGAATACCCATGTGGCTGCTATCTCCATAGCTACTTAATTACAGGGGATTTACAAACTCCAGAATGCCCTCTCCAGCATAGCTCTTGTCACGTCATCTCATCTCAATCTAGCAGAATGGCAAAATTAAAAGGAAGCAGACGTCACGGGGTAATGTTGCAAGTCTTCAAACATCAGCTGAAGGATCCTTGATTTCTGAGCTTGAAACAAATCTTCGTTTTTCAAGGACTTCTATTATTGCCCCAGTATAGTAACTAATATATATCACAAGCACAATATACATTATCTTGCAGAATAAATTATACAAATCCGCAATCTCATGCAAGCACTCATCATTCCCTGTAAATAAGTTTTTTAAATTGCAAATACAATGCTTTCTGTGTTTTTTCTAAGGGGGAGGGATGTTATGTGAAGCCAAAGACTGGATTCCAAAAAGAAAGTAAGTAATTGAAAGAAGCGAGCAAAAAAAGTAAGTTCTGGAGAAAATGTTGCACATGACGAGATGCAATGCATTAATTAGATACACCCGAATTGCAACTGGGAAAAATCCAAGCATTTTAAAATTGAACTACTGAAAGGGGAAAACATGCATTTGAGGATATATCTGACAGTATAAACATGTACTTTTGCCTATACAAAAAGTATTCTGATGTGCTACCTTGCCTGTAATAACCAGGAAAGATTTTATGATGATCTACAGGTTTTGTGAACTCGTTTTCCCGAGCAAGTTAAAAATGCATAATTCCACTATGATTTCCATTAACTGCAGATATTAAAAAATTTGCCTATAGTCTCAGTGTACTAGTTGTATTCACGAATAAAGTCATTAAACAACACACAAAACATTAAAAATAAGATATCCTGTAAAGGAGTAAGTAAACACCATTAAATCATCATCATCATCATCATCGTTCTCTGCCCACAGCGGATTTTCTTAGGAGAACTGGGGCAGGACTGCTGCTTCTTTACGTGTCAATACACTTGAGGTTTCTTCTTGGTTCTTCAGCCTTGGTATCCTAGTTTTGTTAATAAACCTATGGGGAGATAATCAATGGGGAGGAACAACCATTAGAAGCTTTTACCTACTTGTGATTAACAAGTAAAAACCTGTGGAAGAAAACATTTAAGAATCTACAGCAAGTTTCAGTGCCACCTCCCTAATTCTAAAGCAAAGTCAAATGCTACTTTGAAGTTAAACAGTGTACAGTGAGAAAAAAATAAAAATAATAATAAAAAAAAAAGAAAGCAGAAGACCAGACTGAACAATTCATTCAGCTCACCTGGACACCCCCCCTGTTTCTCAGCTTATGGGTACCTACAGTAAAATTTAAATTCTTTAGGGTCATGATTAAAAAAGAAAAGAAAAAAAGGGATCATCCTTCATGTCATGAAAAGTTTAAATTAAAAAAAACAAACAAACAATTTGATCCCATTTGCTTAAAGACTAACCTCTTCCATCAGATCTTCCAGACTATCTCCATTTTCCCAGATGCTGCGCTGTACCCAGTTGATTACCTTTGTGTATAATTTGCCATTGCTTGGCAAGCCAACATTGTCTTCAAGCATAACTTCAAGCTTGAGTAAAAAATAAGAGTAGTTAGTGTCCAGCTTATGCTATTACATACAAGTTGTACATTTACAGCATTGTCAGTATTTTACTGAAGTTAATTATTCTTAAAGAAAATGAAAGAGGACAGAATTGTCTAGCACAGCATACTGAAAATGAATGAGTATACTAGTCTCTAGTATTTCACTACTGAAGGTGAGCTCCTGGCTGTGTTCCCTCATCCTGGCAACAGAAAGGATAATTTTACATAAACTAATTTTGACTTAGTCACTAAAGTCTTCTACGGATGGAAGACAGAAGATATCATGCATAACCAAGTTTCATGGCACTAATTAATATAATCTAATGGAGACTTCTAACAGAAAATAGTTATACGCTATGCCTGTGTTAAACAAACTGCAAACTACTCTGGAAATTCGGCAGGTATACAATTTTTCTGCCATTGAAAAAGGAACCAGTACTATTTACTGTTTACTATATTAAAGTACAAAAGGTAATTACCTATTTTTGTTAAAAGATTAAAATTGCTGCTAACCTTTAGCCGTGGAAGCTTGAGAAATTCCTCCTGTTCTGAAATCTGTAATAAGTGTTCCTGAATGTAGCCATCAATCTTGTTCAACAAACGTGAGTCTCCCATACAACTTGCAAAGTTCCGATAAGAGATGCAGCTCTGAACGTCCATCTTGGACAGCAAATAATCACCACAAACCTTTAAAAAAAAATGTAGTATCCCAAACTTTCTAGTATGTTTAAAATGTAATATGCTACATTTCTTTTCCAACATGTAGCACACACTCTACCAGTATGAAATATTTTACTTACTCTGATGGTACTCTATGCAGAAAAATCTTTCTAAAACAAGCATAAAATCACCCTAAGCATAATCACTCTATATACTACATAACTTTAGAACAGTACCTTAATAGGACAGGACCAGAGAAAAGGAAAACAGTATAATTATGATACAGATTTTTCTGGTCAATTCTTTGAAATTAACATTTCAAACGCTAGTGATTTGTTAAATAAAGTCTACTTTACTACTTATGGCCTCCACATCATTATTTAAGGACGTAGGAATAAACAATAGGTATCTTGATAAGTGAATTAGCCTCTCTCCCCTATAAAATGTGTTGTTTTGAAACAGCAGCAACCAGGGATTTCAGAGTCCAAGTGGATTCTTCCCTTCTCAAATCTCAGTTACAGTTTTTCAAGCTAAATTCTGCCTGTAACTTCTCTGTGAGCCCAGTGCATTAGGTAGGCTTACATGGTTGTAACTGGCTGGAATTAAGCCGATAGTTCTAGTGATGAAACAAATACAGAATCTAGCTTATCTTGGCTGTCCATTGTAACAATCACGGAAGTGGTAAGCACCTTTCACTAAAAATCAGTATGTTTTTGAGTACACAAAGATGACCTCTTGTGCAACTTATCCACAGTGTAATCTCACTTCAGTGTCAGTTAACACCAGCATTTTTTTTGTGACAGTGTACCATCACCTTTTTTGGGGGGAGCACTCGCATTTCTCTGGCAAAGCCCCCAGCCAACCCTGGGAGCACTTGCGCCGCAAACCTGCTCGGGACACGTGGCAGTTAAAGGGGTCACGACCGAATTTCTGCCCTGACCTCTGAGCCCCCCCCCTTTTTTGCTCAGCAAGTCCCCCCTCCCACTCCCTTTTTTTTGGGGGGGGGGGGGGGGTTGGCAACCCTAGTACTGGCACCTTTTTTATTTACAAAAAAAAGCACTGGTTAACATTAAACATAGTGTTTTCGCTGTCCCTCAAAAGGTTAATAATGGGACTGCTGTAGAAGATGTAAGTTATACCTGCTTGACTCTCTCCATCTTCAACTTCTTAGCTGCAGAATACACATCTTTTACTAGCTCTTTATCAGCTTTCAACCTATTAAAAAAATTCGGTGTTATTCTAAAACAAATATAAACATGAATATTTATTTCTTATTGCTTATCAGGAAAGTAATACTCACTGAGCAGTGTAGGCATAATTTAATAAGACTTCAACAGCTTCTGGATTGAGATCATCAAATTTAACATGAGAAACTCCATGAGAATCACTATCACTGTTGAAGATTTCAAATAAGTAGGGACTGCAGCAAGCTAGGACTGCTCTGTGTGCCAACATCTCATGTCCACATACCTTTATTAAAAAGAAATCTTAGGTTTTTTTACTGTGCTCCCACGTCTATTATAAAAAAATGCAAAGTGTTATGCAGCCTTGTTCAAAACATAACAGATCAAAACTCAATGTATATTAGAAAAATTATTTTATCAATATATATTTTTCAACTTGCACCATCTGAATTAAACTGTTAAAGGCCATATATTGATGGCTGAAAATGTAAATAATGTTCCTTTTAATCTTTTCCATTTACATGTGATTTTCCATCCATATGCAGAATAAATTGTTTTTTGTGCACTGAGGCATGTATGAATGTGCATCACCAATACAAAAACACAACCTAGCTGTGGGTGCTCTGCTAATCAGCTGAGTAGCATCTGAATCTCTCCTGAGCATCCAAATAAGCGCATAGCTTACAGCGAACACTTTTTAAATTATATTTTTCTGAATAGTATCTGATTTTCAATAAGATAGACAAACTGTTAAGATTCACAGAATCAACATGTAAAAGATGTTCTTTGCTATCTGTAAATGTCACCCCTAGATGAAACTTTATAACTTACCTGAAGCCGAACATCACAGAACTGACCACTTTTACGCAAAGCGTTTAATTTGGCAACAGATGATTCTATGAAGTTTTCATCTTCAAACATCAAATATCCATTAGGAATCATTTTGCTGTTGGTTTGGCTGTCAAAAAAAAAAAAAAAAAAGTTTTTCCCCCCCCATGTGTAAAATGTACATGCCAACCATGGAAGCGTATAAACTATTTCCTTATTACCAGCTCCCTCTTCCAAAATATATAAACACTTTGTGCAATGTCCATAAAATAAAGAACAGTGATATATTTAAAACTAGATTGGACAAAATGCACAGTCAGTTCAATTAACTAGATCAGTGGTATGCAACCTTTTTGATCTGCGACCCCCGTGCCATGGGGGCTGCCAACTGCTGGACTCAACCCCAGCTGGCCAGCTCTAGATGCCGCGACCCCCTGGAAAGACATCTGTGACCCTGTTGGGGGTCGTGATCCACGTGTTGTCATCTAGTACAGTGGTGCGCAACAGATCTTTTTTATTTCTAATATTTGTACTGTATGTTCATCTGAACTAGGGATTTTAATGTACAGACGTTTAAATGATTATCAGTTAATCCAAATAACTACATGCACACACACCTCCTTGCTGCATCTGTATCACAGGGAACTTTTAAGCTGGCTCCCAACAAGTGCTTGTTCCTGCAGAGCTGCCTGCTCCCCTTCCCATCCCCGCTTCCTTCCACAGAGACAGCAGTGCATGGGGGAGGGGGAAGAGGGAGGAGCCAAAACACGTGGGGAGCTGGCTTTTAAACTGGCTCTCCATGCACCCTGGCTTCATAGAACTGCCTGCCCTGCCCCTTGTGCTGCTGTCTCTGCCGTGGGTGGGGAGGGATACTGGAGCAGCCTCTGTCAGTGGGGAGCTCACCCCCCATTCCTGCAGACAGGGACTGCTCAAGTGGATGCCAAAGCGGAGAAGCAGGCAGGAGCCATTCTGCATCAGGAGCCAATTTTTAAACGGCTATTTTTAAACTGACACAGAGGCAGCCACGTGGCATGGCAGGGGGTCCCCAGGGTTGGGTGGGGCTGGGAGTGCACTGGCTGCCAGCTCTGCACCCCCGGGAGGGGGAGAGGGTGTTTTAGTAACTGTATAACTGCTAAAAATTGTTGTAGCTACGTGATTACTAAAATAAACGATATCTAACATCCCTAATCTGAACTAATTTCTAATGATTCTATGGAATCCATATTATGGGAACTGTAAAAAAAAAAAAAATCTCCTCAGAACAGTTTAGTTCTCTGTAGTAACATTAGAATTAATACCCTGAACAATTAGCAAATATACATTTAAAGGATCACTATTAAGTCTTTTCTACCTACAGGTTTACCTATCTGCAATATATCTGAGAGTTTGTCTCTTGGTGTCTGCTGCGTCGAGAGGGCTGGGGTAATTCTCCCTCCCTGAGGCAGCCTGCATACTGAACACCTCATCCCAGTCCCACCCCAGAACAATGATTTAAATGAAGAAAAACAAATATCAAGTTAAGGATCCAAGCAATGCTAGGTAAATCTAGTTTATAAATAATACCAATGGTCTTCTCTAGTTTGCATTGTGGTACTATGTAGATGGGATTGAATTAATTGTAGAGCTGTCTAACTGCACTGTGTAGACTCTTCTAACACAAAGTAAAAGGTATATAGGCAGCAGGATCTACACAGGCAGTTAAGAGTGTTCTTTAGTTCATACACTTCTAGTTCACACAGCAAATACCATGTAGAAAAACCCTTAGACTAAAAAAAAATTGTTTTCTGCTATAATAAAGTTTGCTTTGTGACAGCAATTTATATATAGTCAGTTTCACTGGTTCCCTGGGCTCAGTCAAATCAGTCATTTCTTATTTGTGTGGGTCATTCACATAGATATAGGTAAATATGAATCATTTTTTAAAACTGGAAAGCATGATTGCACGAGTCACCAAAAATGACAGGGAAACTCAAAAGCAGAATAGTACTTGAAGTGACAACTGATTTGACAACTTTGTCAAGATGTCAATCCTACAGGCCTTTTAAATTTGAAAAGGAAAATGAGGATGTAACTTCCAAGTGCCTAATAAAGGTATTAGACAGCATTTTGAAAATCCCATGCCATGAAGTTACCTAAACACCCTTTTTTAAAAGAATATGATATATGCTATTTCTTATTTACTATTACAGAACAATTTATGTTTTTAGTTTGCAATTTAATAAATGTAATTAGCATAAAATATTTTAAAAAATAAAATAAATCTTTTAAGGTCAGTTACCTTTCTTAGAATTAATTCTAAGTCATTAAAAAAACCCACTACAAATCACTGATGTAAATCGAATTAATTCAATATGCTTACCAGAGTAAATTACTGCACAAAAAAACTTAATGTTAATTTTTACTTAATTACAAGGTTCTTCCTTTGCATACACTTTCATTTCTAGTCAAACACTATGTTAGGTCTGCCTATCACAGTAACACGACAAAAATTTGTTAACTACAATGTTTTCTTATACATACTTACATCAATAGTTACCTGATAAATTTACAGCAATATATTTAGAACTGGGAAACCTTAAATAATCCAATGGTAATGTTGTGTTGAAACAGACCACGTCACTTTTAATGTCGTCTTGCACAGACTATTTGCTGATGTGCAGGCAGACGGGTTGTGTCCCGTGAGCTGCGATGATATTGCAAAAGTAGCAGGCTTGAAATGATGTAATCAAGTCCTTAAGAGCTATAGACATGAATTTCTTCTGTGATAATCATGCATCATAATCTGCAACAAAAATTAGTAATCTAATATATAAAGGAGAATGTTTGTGCGCTAATAACTTGGGCACTATTAAGAGCTACCGGAACCAAACTTTGTATGGGGTAACCTTTCCTCCAGGAGAAGGTTAAGGTATTTTTGGCAGGGTGGGAAGAAGAAGCTACCTGGGGGGGAAGCAGCGGGGACAGTTACTCACTAAGGCCGGGGGCGGAGGCGCGAGGGGAGGGGCAGCGCTCCGCAGCGCTCCGAGCAGCAGCTGCCCCACTCGCCTCTACCAGGCCCTTCCACTGCGCAGGCACGTCCAAGGCAGGGAAGCCCCCTTCTCCCTCCCACCCATGATGTCACTCGGCCCATGCCACTCCCCTCTGGAGGTGGCTGAGGGTTGCCAAGCAGCAGGCTGGAGCATGTGGCAACCACTAGGGGGCAGTTGCGGATGCAGCAGGGCAAGCCCAGCAGGGAGGCAGTAGCGCTGGGAGCGGCCCAGGGTCCAGCGCAGCTTCCTGATCGCACGGCGGGCCCATGACCCGTGGGAGAGGGGAACCCCTGGCACAGCCCCATGGTGCGGCAGGTAGTGGGGCAAAAGCTTCCGAGCGGGCAGTGGAGTCATTGCTCCCCATGGCACCTGCAGCCCCAGGCATGAGCTGGGCCGCCCCACCCACCCTAGGTCCCATGCTCGCCCCCTCCCACCTCTCACACAGGGCACCCCCAGCAAGACTCCAACGCCCACCCCGAGCAACGCTGGGTAACTCCAGCTAGTTGAATATAAAACAGCATAATTTCAGGATTTTATTTTTTTCCTACAAAAATGTATATCCACGAGAAGTCTTTCAGGTGCCACGAGAATCCTCATTGTTTTCGTTAAGATAAAAATATCTACAAGAATATTCTATGCATATTAGCCCAACACTCTTTGGTCTCATAACAAAGTTAGCAAGTCATAAGGAACCATAGGAGGTCAGATCAATGGTCCTTTAGCCCAATACTCTGTCTTCCAATAGTGGTCAGTGCCAGATGCTTCAGAGGGAATGAAAGAAAAAAAAACAGGTTAATTATCAAGTGATGCATTCCCTGTACCCATTTCCAGCTTCTGGCAGTCAGAGGTTAGGGACAAAAAAATATACCACTGATGAACTCATCATCCATGAATTTATATAATTATTTTTTGAATACTTTGAAACTTCTGGTCTTCACAATCCCTTACTAAGGATGTTAAGAGGTGGGTAACAATCATGTAATCCAGTGGTTCTCAATCTTTTTTTTTTTTAAATCAAGTACCCCTTTTTAAATTATAAGTACCCCCAGTACCTAGAGTTTTCAGACACCATTTTTTTCTACCATTGCAACATATTTGTTTAAACAACTTAATCAAAGCAATGACATTTTTCGGTGCAAAAAGTACAAAAATAATAAGGTGCTGTAAAACTTAAAACAAAAATTCAGTTTTCTCCAAATTTCAGTTGTGCTGACGTACCCCCCAGAATTCTCTCGAGTACCCCTAAGGGTATTTGTACCACTGGTTGAGAAACAATTTGTATTGACTACATGATCAGTCATTGAAAAGGGAAGGTGCTCTGTCCCAGCTTGTGCTGGGTCCATGAGCTGGAGGGCAACAGTTTTTAAGCCAGCCTCCCCCAGCACTGCTTCCTGTTTCCCCTCCTCTTGCTGCCTCTCGGGGGCAGGGGGAAGAGTGTGTAGTTGAGTACTCAACTAGATTCCCTGATAAGTACTCAACTATGCTTATATGCCTACCCTTGACAAAGGTTAACTGTGTTATGCTGAAGTATAATTCCTTATGTTTGTTTTAAATCTAATACCTATTTTCTTTGGTTGACCTCTCCCCTATTTACCGTCCACATCACTGATGATTTTATGGACCTCTGTCACATCCCCCTTTAAGCACATCTTTTCTGAATTACAGTCCTAGTCTTTTTAGTTTCTCCTAATAAGGAAAATGTTCCATAATCCAAATTTTTGTTGGCTCTCCTACCTCTAATTTTCCAATTTTAATATTTCTTCGGAGATGGGGTTAACCGAACTTCAAGTAGTGTTCGTGGTGTGTGCATACCATGCACTTATACAGTGGCATTATGATATTTTCCTCTTATTTGTCTCTTTCCAATTGCTCCTAACATTTTGCAGGTGTTTTGAGAGAACTAACCATTTTTCCTACTCTTTTGTTTCCTGCTCTACTCTACCCGGGATGAGAAGAGCAAGGTAAGTCAACAGGAGTTTCTCCATTCAACCCTTTGCAGTGTAAGCCCTGCAGTAACTGACCTAAGGTTCATTGACTCTAGCTACATTGTCCATGTAACTGGAGTTGTGTAGTTTAGGTTGACTTACCACAGTAATATACACATGTAGACAAAGATCTTCCTCTTATTCTATCACTGCTTATTTGACTTAAGCCTTTGGGAAAGGTATACTTAGTTCATGTACATTGTATCAACTTGATCACCCCTATTCACATGCTTGCTAACACTAGGGATGTAAAATTCCATTTTATTAATCAGTGGAATGTTGTGTTTAACCGGTTAACTGATTAAATCAGGAGTGAGGAACCTCAAGCCCAGGGGTCAGATGTAGCCCCTGGCTTGCCTGGATCCAGCCCTCAAGGCTCAGGGTTTTCCCCAGCATTGGAGAGCCCACACTGGCACTCTAGCCTCCCACCTCACAGGGCTGAAGCGCACAATATCTACTAACCCTTCCTGCCCCTGCCCCCCATGCTCTGGTGTGCAAGAAGAATGTCTTTCTCCTTCTCAGTTAGTGAGGGTTTGGTGTTTTTTTGCTTCTCACTTGCATGTGGCCCACGACCGATTTCTCTGTGAGGTGTCCCGGCTAGGTGGGAGCACCCTTTCCTGTTAACTGTAACCAATAAGGGCAATGCTTTCATCATTCACATCCCTAGTTGACACCCTCAAATATTTATTTAGGGAGCACAATTTACCTTGTCAAAAAGCACGTTTACTCTTTCACAACCCATTGCGATCATCTACATTTAGTCAATTCTGTTCTTATCAACCAATCTGAATCAAGAGCAACATACTGATTTTCCCAGAGCACCTGCAGTGTTCTTTTATTCCTGAAAATACTGTGCCACAAAGAGCAATCAACATTTAAGACATGACCATAATCAGGGCTCGCTAAGAGGCGGCGAACCCCGCTCGCCAGCTGCGTGGTTCTGTGCTCTACGCCGGCTCTTCTGGGTTGTAATTACTCGTCGCGGGCGAGTAGATTACATTATTTGTCAAGCCCTGACCATAATGGAATGTTCATTATTTCAACTCCTAAAGCATACATGGGCACGTGAATGGAGGAAGTTATATATATTTTAGAGCATCTCCCTGCAAGTCCATCTATGAGTGTTTGTTCAAGAACGCTTCCTAAACTGTAAGAGCTAAGACCATCAAACTCGGTATGCTGCTTCCTCTGACCCTAATTTAAACCACGGTCAAGTGTGGTTGTGGCCGGAATGGGACTGCTTTCAATAACATGGAAAGGGAAGGGGCAGAGAGTGGAGGGAAGCGATATTGAGAGTTGCCACTAGAGCCAACTGCAGGAGCACAAGGAGTGGCCAGCAGGACTGGGGCTCCACCATCTTGCCTGCAACAGACCAGGTATGTAGCCCCCTTCCCCCTAACCTGGAGTCTGCACTCCCCCCCATAGAGAACATCCAGACCATAGACAGGGGAAGGGTGTCCTTAGAGGAGGGCAGCTGGAAGCCTGGTCCCCTCCCCCCCCAGATAGCTTGCAGGCCACAGCAGGGGGTGCGGTGAGAGCCACTGGAGCCTTATCCCCACCTCAACAGCCTGCAGGCCACAAGAGGGGGGAGGGGCATGATGCAGGCTGGGGGCAGCCCCAGGAACCTCGCCTCCTCCCAGACAGCCTGCAGGCCACAAGGGGAGAGCCCCCAAAGCCCAGTCCCTCTCCAGACAGCCTGCAGTAGTGGGGCGGTGCATTGAAGGTTGGGTTAGCCCCTTGAGCCTTGCCCCTTCCCCAGGCGCTGGCAAGGTGCACTACCCTAGCCCTCTGGGAGGAGTCGTCACCACAGCAGTGTCACCCTCATCACCACAGGTGGCCCCGGTAAGTCCACCTCCCAGCCCCATCCCGAGTCCATGCACCTCCCACCTTCCTTGACTTCTGTACCCTCTCTCTCTCTCTCTGCCCTGAGCTGCCTTCACCTTCCTCCCTGAGCCCTGCAGCTACTGCCTTGAGCCCCCACGCACCTCCCAACCCTTTCCCCTACACCATCTACCCCCTGCTACTTCTCACTCCCTGAACTTTCACTTCAGCCTTCATTTTCAAAAAATAAAATCAGTGAAATGGAGCATTCATATTTTTCATTTATTTTAAAAAAAAAAAGTTACTTCAGCTAAAGATCCAAGCAACACTGGGTACATCTTCTAGTTCTTACTAAAAAAAACTACATTTTGGTATCTATACTAATTAGGAATTTCCTGAATATGAATTGGCATACAGGATTTATTAGCTGCTACACCTACAGGAAAACTGAAGAAGAATCCTTGCCTGAAATAATTTGGTTAATGCAAGCTAAATCATGTTTTAGGCAGAACCACTTTTATGCAGAAGATACAAAATTATCCCTGCTTAAACTATTCTCACAACTTCAATTAAGATACAAAATACATTGCATATTACTCAGTAGTTCTCATGTAACTATTGAGATGTTAGATATTGTGTAACTGAATATTTGTATAACCGCATGAATTTTTAGCAGTTACACAACTATTCAATAGTCGCCAAGGATGGGGCCGGCAGCCAGTGCGCTCCTAGCCTCACTCCCAGGGGAGCCCCTTGCCACCCCACACTGCTGTCTCTGTATTAGAGGCCGCAGCGCAGTGGCA